CTTTTTACCGTTTGAGGACCCAGCATTGTTACGCGTTGTTTTATCTACTCTTTATTTTTTACGTTACTTAAATTCTTTTAACTTTTAAACGCAAAGTCAACTAAGAAGTATGTCATTACTTTTAAACGTGACAAACAATGACGCATAATTACTACCTTCATGTTTAACAACATTGAAAGTATATTCTGACGTTAAAAAGATAAAGTGACAACCCTCAGTAATAAAGGGAACAACTGCGAAATTTTCCCTACAATTACACTTGATTTAAAGACTGACCGACTAACATACTCGGGTATTGTTATGAGAACTGAGGCGAATGCCTCCAAGATAACTTGATAAAAACATGTTTACAAAACACACGATGAAATTTTTACAAGGAAACGTTACGTGCTTTGTTTGCTTTAATGAATTAGGAATAAAAATGTGAAAAAGCCTTTGAGTTCAGGTTTCTAGTCACTACATAATATTTTAAACTTTCATGTTGCATTTTTACTATATTCTCAATAACGAGGTTTTGTAACAAAACACTTTTAAAAAGGTAAAAGGGAAGTCTTAGGGAGTTCTAGAGTCACTCTTATAGATTTGGACTTCAATAAGGATGCTTAATAATTATGAAAAAGTTAGTCTGATATTTTTTCCTTTACGGCATTGTACGTATAAATAAGTAAACATTGCAACAAGCTTATCACAAGCATATGTAGTAGAGTTCATTTGATGTCAGTCGTTAAACCTGATAGTAAGTAAGTAGTAAGTTACTATGTAGTTTAAAATCAAATTAACAAAATGCATTCCATCCGTCATCTTTGGCTCTCCAGTATCCACAAATAAAATTGACAAGCTCACGTGGATCAACAATCATAATGCAAGATTAATTTATTATTAAAGTTTTGTAAAACATCTAACTGAAGAAATTTTCGTGATTTAAAGGCATGCAGAATACGATTTTGAAGAGTTGTAGCTGAAGTAAATAAGCCTTAAACCTTCGAGTCCAAGAAATTGTTGATGCTGCCGGAGCTGTCAGAAGAACTTCGGCAGCCGATGCTGTCATCGCTGTTGCACAGTCCGCCGCTGCCACCACTGTCCGAACTCTTGCTGTCCGAATCAGACTCGATCCACAGCGGCGAACGATACTTGAATTTATGAGCAATAGAGCTGAATCTCCTTTCGTTGTCCATTTCTTCCTTTTTCGAATAGAGTGTTCGAGAAAAATATGTTCAACTTCTTTTTTTTTGTCCAGATGGGTGTTCCAAATCGATTTTCAATTATTTTACCCTGCTTTCTTCTGTTTTGAAGAATTCGAATTTCAAATTCTTAAAACTTGTCTCCAGTTTATGTTATTTCTTTGTGATAGTCAATTGTTTCAAATTGTCTTCGATACCCAATCGGCTTTTTAGAAGGTTCACGTAAATTACATTTTATGCAGGTAGGTATTTGATTCTGGGCAGAGTTTTAGTATTGAGTCCACATAATATTTTAACGGACTGGTCTAGATATAAGATCACGGGCACGATCAACTGATTGGATGTACGCAAATAGACCAGGGGTGGGCATTGCAATAAAATGTGTTTTATTTTATCTAAAAACTACGTCTGTAAAGTCTGTTTTTTTTAAACACATGGCAACCTTTAGCTTTGTTTCACTGAAATGCATTGGTATTAAATAAATGCAATAACTGCCTACTTACAGTAAACAAATGCATCGTTATCTTCCAATCCACAAAGCAAGACTAGCCTTATTTTATAAAATTTCATGTTTTCCCAATGACAAATGGTAGCATTATCATTGCATAAGATAAGAATATTATCAAAACGTTAATCTTGGCGCGGAAGCCACGGGTAATCTTCGTGTTATTTTACATACAATGCTTCGAATCGCACCTACACCATATTAAGTTTTAAACACATGCTATGCCTGTAACTTACAAACCACAGGTTCTATACGCGCGTGTACAAAAGTTGAGAAAATTAATAAATCAAGCAAGTTTGATTAAGATTTGATTTGAAAAAATATAATTACTGCATTACAAATTTTACTATACATAGGCTTCGCCCGCGTGGAATTTTGTCTGTCACAGAAAAACTTTATCACGCGCGTCTCTGTTTCAAAAACCGGGATAAAAACTATCCTATGTCCTTTTCCGGGACTCAAACTATCTCTATACCAAATTTCATCAAAATCGGTTCAGTGGTTTAGGCGTGAAAGAGAGACAGACAGACAGAGTTACTTTCGCATTTATTATATTAGTATAGATGGTGCCGTCTTTTTATTACAGTTAAATACATTATTAGGTATAATAGATTCTTATAGCTCCAATTAAAATTAAAATAAATTAAACAGTTCCCAGGTTTCAGTTTTGACTTTCAGAATCATGGAATTTCGAAAAATTATACTTTTGTACGGTACGTACGTACATACGTATGTAACCGCCTCTGTGGTCTAGTGGTAAGACCACCTGCTTCAGACGCAGAGGTCCCGGGTTCGATTCCCAGTGGGGGCAGATTTTCTATTCGGTTTGGTTGGTGGTAGGGCTTGTTCTAAGTCCGCCTGGCGTGTTAGCTAACACCATCTTACCTAAGTCTGTCGCCATAACACAGCATTATTGTATTCCGGCAATTAGAGGTAAGATAGCCAGTTCCTCCGTGGTTGAGGTTCCGGGTGAAGCTCGCTTCCACCTTCGGCCTGATCGTCACTTACCATCAGGTGAGATACAGGCCAAGAGCTTCCTCGTTGTGGATAAAAAAACGTAAATACATTTTTCCATATACTAAACAGGCGACATTCACAACTGTTGCCCATCTCTGCAGGATGTCTTTAAACAATTTAGATGGCGCGGGACCTTCCAATGTCGCCTGTTCCCCCCACCCCCTGTGAACTTGACCCAATACCGGGGCGTTTCATTATTAACAGCCGTTATCGTTTGATATAACAAAACTTGTTATTTTAAGGTAATTAAGAGTGGTCTGGGCCACTTATTTAATGAGAACAATTTAATATTCTCAATTCTTAAGGTAGAATTTCGGTATTGTTTTTGTCATCATCGTTTTGTTAATTTATTTATTGTAGAGTGATATTTTAGTTTATTAATGTCTAATTTGGTTGAATATAGGATCAATACTTTGAAAGATTAGCCTCAGAAACAAACGTATTACCTATTAGCGTTTTATTTATTTATTTAATAGGACAACCAACAAGACATACACTGGAAGACAATCAATATTTACAACGTATTTAACTTAATCTAAGGGCTGCCTTAATTATAGGTTGCCACGGCATGCAATAGTGGGCTTATACATAAACAGTGTCTTATAATTTAGCGTTCTTATAATTTACGATTTTAAATTACGAATTTTATTGTTGTGCAGCAAAATGTGGACTGAATTAAACTGATAACTTATCGAGTACATATTTACGGAATTTAATAATATTTTGATTGAGGAGTTTACTAATTATTCGATAATGGATTAAATTCGGCACCAATTTAAAAAAAACAAAGAAGAAATTAAATCTCAGCAGTTCAGCAACTTTTTATTCTTCGTCGGGTGACATACATTTGACCCCTTTTTACTAGGTTTAATTACTTGACAGTTAAAGACTTAACAATACCTAATGTTCCGTTTCTTCAATGACTTACCCTAACATGTTTCTTTCTAAGAGCCTCCAATTCATAATCCTTCAGACCATGTGGCACAGATATCGAAGACCTGTGGATCGGCTTAGCAACAGAAGTACTGTCAGGTTCGTTTAAGTCCGCTTTACCCTTTGTTTGCTTCACATCACCGTTCAACTCCATATCATGTGGACCCACGATCTTCACTTCAGGTGTGCCAGGTCTATGGTCCATTTCTCTAAATGTAGGACTTCGCACGTTGTTAATATTTGTAGGGCTTGCATCGTCGTCTATGAATCTTATGTCGTTTGGAGTCCGATTAGCTTCCAGAATCAGACGTCTTGTCTCTTGAGGCATTTCCACATAATCGTGAGGATATGACGGTATGTTCACACGAAGATCAGGCTTTTTCCTTACCCTCATTTTGGGAGCTTATGTATTTTTGACGAAAATTAATAACGGAAGGTCACGCACTAAGCACACAGTGACACAGTGTATAGCGGTTTCCTTAATCCTCAAATAAAGGCACCGGACGATATGTTTGTAGACGACACCAGATAAGCAATATCTATTCAAATTAACTTTGTAATTTACTTCACCAGTAACAACAGTTTCCGTGAACTGCTTCAAAAGCAATCACTGGGAGAATACGAGATATTCATTAAATGTTGTATGTCAACACCTTTATCACGCAACCACGTGACTTTCCCTTACGATGCACAAGTATTGACACCCACGATATGAATTAAACTAAGTAATTTCTTTCCGGCATATTATCAAATTTAAAAAATGATAAAATTCATGTGACGCGTTGATAGCAAATCTCCGTCGAATCCTTGTATTAGGTTATCTAAAGATATGTAGCTGTTGATATGTACTCTATTGGAGAGAGTGATACTTTCAAGTGCTGTTATTAATTAGGGCAGGGATAAAGGTTACTTATTTCTGATTGAACATTGTCACTACTTGAAAGATGCCGCTACAAATGAAGTTATTGCCGTAATATTAAGAAGCTTACCATCATTAAAAACATTATCGTCATTGTTTGTTTATAACGATATTACATATAAATTGACGAAGTACCTATCTGTTGTAAAACAGTTTAATTCAATATCAACACAGAATTAAGTCGTTGATTGGTTGAATTCAAATATTTAATTAAAGGACAGAATCTATGATCGATGAAAATACGCTGAATTGAATTATAGTCTGTTTTAACAGTCGGCGTTAACTTGATTTTGATTAAAAATGTTTAAAAAAGATACTTAAACATAAAGTGGACAGTAACTTTTAAAATACCAATAAATATAAGCTATTCATAAACCCAGACAAGGTCAATTTACTTAACGACACTTAGAATAGAGGTTGTAACTAGATTATCAACAAATCTTACCTCATCTTGCGGATTCTGCATGTACTGTTGTCTCAAAACCTCCTGCTCCAGGTTCTGTAGAGTCGGCATCGAAATTGAATTCCTCCGCAAGTTCGCTCTTCTCTGCTCCGCATCCCTTTCATTCTCTATTAACACCCTCGATTCATCTCCAACTGCTTTCGAAGTGCTCGGACTGGCTAAACTATCAGTCAAGTCCGTAGACTGAGTGCTTGGACTAGTCGGACTTGCTCTACTTGACTTTGCTGATTCGGGGTCCAGTGTTATGTACAGAGTTCCTTCAGGAGTATCCAGTACTATGGTATCGCTATTAGGCGAGCATATGGCTCCCAAATCTGCCGCATGGATTTTCCCATCTCTGTGCTCTGGACCTTTCTCGAGGTCTTTAAGTCTTTGCGGCCGGACGGTTTCATTCTGAACGTGGTCTAGTTCTACAAAGTCGTCGGCAAATGGTATGCTAGCGTTCGATTTGATTTCAGGTGAGTTGAGGCCTTTAGCGAACTCTTTGAATGGGTCATTGTGGTGTCCGTCTTCCATCTCCTATTTCATAGTAGCCTGAAAAGAAGCAGAGTGATTTATTGTACCATTTTACTGTGATTTGTGGCAGACCACTGACTAGTGTGGTTCCCCGGCGTTTGTGTTGTGACGTCCAGCCGGTTAGTGTCTCCATATTCGTAAAGGTGTGATTCATGGCGAAGGTAAACGACTACATTGTTCTCTAAGATTTATTGTTTTTTAAAAGGATTGCTTGAATATTAAGTGCAATAAATCAACGGTTAACAAACTTTGCGGTGTTGACGTTTGTTTTCAAAACAATAAGTCATTAGAAGTTATTGGTGAACTGCACCATACTAAAAACTTCGTAAAAACTTTGATTTTCCTTACATTAATCAGAAGTAACCAATAAGTACCTACACTTGCAGTTTTCTTACAGACACGATATACAAATTAAAACAGAAATTACAGGATATTCTCACAGTACCTATATACGTACTGTGATATTGTCTTATTGGCTATCATTACCACACACCTCACATTTAGAAAAAATAATCACAAATCCACCAACTAACTTCCAAAAGATATTTCAAACACAGTCTCAACTTTTCCCGCGTTCTTCCCAGTAAGGCAGCATGCACACTGAGGCGGCGATCGCTGCACACTACAAGGTCGCTCGGACGGAGGTTTGTTTGGATACAGATTATCACCGGCGATTAAACAGCACTGCTCATTACATTTTTGTGTGTGCGAATAACGTCCGACGTGGAAATTGTATGGCGTAGCTTATATGGTAAGCTTGGTACAAACTACAAACGCAATTACTTTGTCTAAGCTACACTAAACACAATTTTGATGATTTTGATGCTTATTAATGAAACCAAAATAATAGAAGAAGATGATACCATTTCAGGACTGTACACGATGCGCATATTACGATTGAAATAAAATGAAACTGAGATACAGGCCAAGAGCTTCCTTGATGAGAATAAAAAAAAAGTTACATAAACATTCCTATATGGTGGGAATTTCGCAGGAAAATACTTCAACTGACCTGTACCTAATGATAACCGATAAACAAAATATTTTGGTTTAAAGTCGTACCATCAAAGATCGCGCGGTCACAATGCGGCATACTTGTAGTAGTAATGACTTACGCACAAAGGCGGTAGATTTGAACGAATGAGTATTTTTTAATAAAAAAATGTTCTGATTGCGTCAACAGTACAAAGAGATTTTCGTAACTCTACATTGAACATTCCTAATCCCTAATGTGAATTAATTTAGGCCATACATAAATTTAGGCATACTAATATCGAGTAGAAACTCTACAATAAACAACTAGTCTTTATCTATAAGTAATAGGTATATTATGAAACTTCCGACACGTACCGAAGTTTGAACATAAACAAACAATAGGGAAACTAACAAATTAATTTAGATATTTAATATAATTCAATTTATCCTTTAACTTACTGATGAATATGGTAAAGTTTAACATATTAATCAATATTACACTTGTAAGCCCACAATTTTCATTACACAAATGAGACAACACTAAAACTATCGCAAACACGATGCATTAACTTAGAATTTTTAAATACCTTGAACTCGCGCCAGCCCCATATCAGTGAATCATAAAGTAGACGAAGAGTCCAATGAAGATGAGCACCAGGACGGCGTATATCAAGTAGTCCAGATGGAACACCAGCCAGAAGCACTTGACGTCCTCGCTCGCACACCCGCCACACTCCAGATTCATCTTGGATCTAAGATGATCCAGCAAATATTACAACTTCTGAGGTCTACTCTTTGCCGCTAGTTGAGAATTAATTCATCGGAACACGTTTAAAAAGTCGTTCTAAATGTCTGGGTTGAAGGTTAGGTTAATGTTAAGCGCGTATAATAATGCAACAATGATGTTTTGGGTTGCCGTCCGGGTATTAGGCAAGTAACTAAAATAAATAATTCTTGGACATTTTACACTGCCCCATCTAGTCCCCAACTAACAAGTAATATAGGTACAAAAGTAAACCGAGTTAAAGTTGACTTTTACTAATGAATTGTGTATTGCTAAACGCTCGTTTAATCCAGTTATTAGACAATAATAAGTCGTGCAAGATGGAGTTAAGCTGTTATCGCACTAATCCAAGAGTTTAATTAACACTGACATACACGGTTAAGAAGTATTGTGCTGGATTATTTTATTATACCTGTAGTACGAGTTACCATCCCGGCTTAGTACTGGTCAATGACAAACATAATTTTATTAATACTATGAATTTGTGATTTTTTCATGTTTTCGTAGGTTATGAATTAGATTTTCAGAAGGAGAATAGATTTACACAATACATTGGAAAAATAACTTTCTATGAATATTCCCAGTTTGGTACAAAGTCAAAGGGAAACTGTCAATAAATTGATTCCCCCTCATATTAAAGGGGCAAAACAGTGTTTAATTTTTTTAAATTTTATTGACCACATTTTAAGATTTTAAAATTCTCTACCAATACTCTAAATTTTCCAGAACCTTACTGCCCCATCGGCCGTCAGTTCTGCGTACTATGTGCCCTGCCCACTGCCACTTCAGCTTGCTGATCCGTCGGGCTATGTCAGCGACTTTAGTTCGTTTACGGATCTCCTCATTTCTGATTCGATCTCGTAAAGAAACACCGAGCATGGCCCTCTCCATAGCACGCAGCAGGAATGGAGGCCACGTACCGGAAAACGCAGCGTGGGACGTCCACCCACAAGGTGGACCGACGACCTGATAAAGGTAGCGGGAAGGCGCTGGATGCAGGCCGCTACCAACCGTGCGATGTGGAAGTCATTGGGGGAGGCCTATGTTCAGCAGTGGACGTCCTATGGCTGAAATGATGATGATGATGACTCTAAATTTTAAATAAACTTTCAATATTAACGATTAATCAATAACCAAGGTCAGATCCACAGCATGGTAACCACGCGACCATTAACCACGGAATCATGGACTATTTGGCACGTTGTTAAACGAGTGTTAACTTCATTAACGATACTTTAATTATCAGATTTTAGACTCACATGATTCGGTGATTCATTTAGGCTGAGGAATTTTATGGATTCTTTAAGAAATTGGTTAGTTCGAGGATAAATTTTAGGGAAACCCACCAAATCTCTGTAAAACCACTTATGTAGGTAGGTACTGAAATTACGCAAATAAAATTTGTTTTGATTTGAAACCTACTCTACAGCAGTAATTATTATAATTATCCGATCAATGAGTCGATCCGCATGTAGGTAGATTTAGTTTTTCACATTATGATTTCTAAAAATTATTAACAACAACAAAATAAAATGCAAGTTGCTCATTTAAATCAAATTACAAAACCACTAAGGTTCACAAAAATGTTAATGATATTTTTGTTTTATGGCTTGAAGTTGCAGATTTGAATGTCGGAATAATATCTTAATCCACATGAAGAAACACATCAAATACGGCCCTCAATATCAATAATACGAATAACTTTAATGACAAGCATTGCGGGAAAATAGTCATTTGTATTATTAATTAACTCCGCATCCGCAACTAATTAAAACATACACTATAACGTCAATGTTCCGTGAACACTAAAACACAAGCGAACCCGCGGGCAGCGCTAGTCAACGTGCCACTCTCACGACAAATTGTTTTGAACTAAAATACAAATGTAATTATTGTAGTTTTGTAGTTGGCGTTAAATTAGTCATTACTCATTATTGGTCGAATTTTAGGGGTCCTTAAGCACGTTCGTGAACCATTGACAAAATAACAAATCATTATTGCATTGGATTAATCTGGTATTGATGTACTAAAAGACACTAACATAATCATTGATAACTCAGGCTGTATGTTTGTATACCTTTGCTCTAATAGGATGAATCTAAACCTTGTAGTGAAAAAAAACACTGCTCAGGTGAAATCCCTCTTTGAAAATTCAGCTTGAATAACATTAATGAAGGCAGAAGATGTCTGGGATATTTATTTGCCTTGATCGTGAAGCATGACATAATAGTTAGTACCTCCTACATAGGTTTAAAAAATGACAGCAACCAATTAGTTATTGCCAAATAAGTAAATCCTCAAATTAAACTGACATCACTAACTTTTTTGGAGCTTCCTTAGCAAGACAGAATCTTATTATGAGTATTTACTACAAACACTTCAATTGTTTATCTAAAGATTGAAAAGTACTCTTAAAACGATGAGATAAATGTTTATTTAGCACTTACAATAAGTAATAATTTTCTGATTTAACAAACATAATAACATGTCGATGATCAATTATTTCTATTTTTTTCTTTTCAAAAATTACTCAGAAATAAAATTAATGGATTCATTTTGAATGTTGTGTCGTAATTAGAAGAAATAACTGTTTAGTTAAAATATACTGAACCACATGTAGCGTACAAAGCTGAACATAATTATTGGAAATAATGTTTCCTTCCTCGTAACTGCTAAATATAAAACTCGATTATGAGACTCGATTTGCGTACCAACTAACTTGAGTAAAAAATTAATAGTAAGTAAACCGGCTAGTTTTTGCTCTAATCTGTACCGGTTTTAAGAATAGCGTAGAGCGACATTTTTTTTGTTTTCCATATTGTACACGTCTTAGTTAATAAGTTTAAAGTAAGTATTTATTAAGTAAAAGGTAATACATATTATTTATTTTAATTTGTAGTATGGAAATTGAAATCATGTCTAATTAAGTCATGAAGTAGGTATACTTAGTGTTATTGTGAAACATCCTACTATCCTACTAAGATGTTTGTTACTCTTTCACGCAGAAACTACTGGACGGATTGTGATGAAACTTTGCAGTAATATTGATTATAACCCAGAATAACATATAGGCTATAATTTATGACGATTCGTGACAAACTAAATTTCACGCGGGTGAAGCCGCGGGCAAAAGCTAGTAAATAAATAAACATGGGGTAGAAAGAGTCGCTGTATCAAGTAATATGGAAGTGGGTTTAAGATACAACATAAGAACGTATCTAACAAAATTCGTTCGGTCATTTCAGCCAAATGACGTCCACTGCTGGACAAAGGCCTCCCCCAAGGATTTCCAAAACGACCGATCCTGCCCTGCCCGCATCCAGGCTCTTACCGCGACCTTACTTAACCAGATCGTTATTATAGCAACAAAATTCATTTAAATTGATCACCAGTTCAGACGTTAAAACAAATACTACTAATATTATAAATGCGAAAGTTTGGATGTCTGAGATGTCTGGAATCTGGATGTCTGGAGGGATGTTTGTTACTCTGTACGCAAAAACTACTGAACGGATTTTGATGAAACTTTACAGTATTATTCTTCACGCGGGTGAAGCCGCGGTCAAAAGCTAGTAATAAATCGTACTTTCGTATTCCTGATGGCTGGTATTACATTACTGATGCCTTTCACTCAACATTCAAAATCTAACTAGTCTATAGTTCAAATATTGTTAAGAAATAACCCACTTCACTTGCCAGTGATAATGAAGCATTTACAAGTTACAAACGAAATCACGAGGCAGCCCACAATAAGTGCAGTTGAAAGGCGTTTAGATGAATGGCGGCGATCAGCTAAACTGTAGCCATTAGCGTCGTTAGAGGGACATCAGCTGAACGACTCTCCTTAGAGAATAATGCTGTTGATACATTACGTATGAATACATAATATTTTTGCTGGTAGTTCCTATCTACATACCTAGCTGGTAGCGTGTAGTTCGCTAAGTTTGTTAATAATGAAAGTTGAACACAAATATTTTTGCAATAAGAATATCTTACTTTAAATTAGTTGTTTTAATATCTAATCTATTATTACTAACGCAGTTATTTAGTGCAACTCGCGTCATATGCAGATTAATAGCTGCAATTTTGCAGAAAAAATGTTTAGTAACGTTTCTGAATTTGATAAATTAGAATATCTTGAATAAAAATATCTTGAATAATCTCTAAATCAGATAGAGCAAAGCCTAACGGGATTTTTATGCAAATTACGTTTTATTCAAAATTGGGTATTTTTATAAACTACCTGACTTACCTATCTACTTTTTCTAAATTGACTCTCCTCAGCTTTTTTTTACTAGAATTTATCGTTGTACCGCGGAGAATACACAAAAAATCAAGGGCTTTTTTTCTCTCTCTCTCATCATGTTGTCAAATTGTCAATGGATTTATTTATTTTAATTTTATTTTTCTTTATTAGGAAAACATACAGCTTATATTATGATTAGGGTTTATATTTCTATACTGAGGCAGTGTTCAGTGTTATAGGTATGCCTACGAGTATATTGAGATCTAGCTGTAAGGACACACGTGCTTATGTATACCTAGCTAAGTGCAGAATATAATAAACAGTTGCATCTAATTAGCGATTGAAATGCAAATGTGGCGCGGATTAGTGCCGATGGGTGTACAGTGTGCACTTTCAGCTGATCTTGCTGCGCCGGCGCATACTAATGGGGAAACAATACGACCCTTGAACGGGATGGAACGATCTGATGGTAGAGATGATGGTCAAAGATGCTGTTAAAAACAGCTCTACATATAGGCATTTACCCTAGGTACGTATAGATGCACCGCACACCTACAATTGGAAAAGCCCTAACTCGGAAGCGCGCTCGAATCTCGTAGAAGTCATGAGTTATAAGCACAAGATTAAAGGTATCAAGGCGTGAGTGAATAGGAACTTACAGGGCAGATATGTACCATCCTAGACTGCATCTCACTTAACACCAGGTGCGATTGCGGTCACATACTTGAGTGGCTTGTTATGCATAAAATAAAAAACTAAAAATCTGAACTGATTTAATATGGGATCAACTAAATAAGAGCTCTTGATAAAACTACCGTCGTGAAACGCGATAGATATGTTCAGTAGACCTAAGATGCGCGCCGTGATAACTTTTATCGACGTCAAAATGTATGGGAAATATCGATAAAATGGCGTGATAAATGGCTACTGGGCCAAATTATTTTTCTAAGATTGACTTGTTGCTGAGTAATATCACGAGTATTGAATTATTGTAAAAGGAAAAGAATAAGAAGTTTAAACTTATACGTTAGGTGATATTATGTAGAGTGAGCAGTAAATACGCGGCGGAATACTTTTTAGTTAATTAAGTATGCACATAATTAGTAAAAATTTCGAATTCTTTTACTTTAACACATTCTACCGGTCAACTTTAAAAAACATTTCTACTCTCTCACTTGGTTAATGTTTGCTAAAACAGGTATGTATCACAAAGCGCACTTAACCATCAGTCAAAGCCTATTCTAAATTAAAAATGTAAATAATCTTGACTTACTTTTCGCAAAAATTCAAACACCGTAAACCCCCGAAACAGCACGCCAAATGTCACGTGACCTCACTGCTGCGCCTGGGCTGATCGCGCGCGCGCTGTCCATTAACTGCTACTTTACTTCACTTCGTTCGTACGCCACATAGACTGTACTATACTATGAGATTACCAACAGGTACATCAACCTCGGTACATTAGACGCACTCGCCGCTTTACCAAAAAATCCTTAACATATATCAACATGACGTAATGAAGATCACTCGTGATGGGAAACACGAACTTTTTTGCTTGGTGAATGTTAATTGAAGGATCTTATTACGTGCCGGTATGTTTGTTTTCTCGTCCATCCTAAAGCACAATTTCTCCAAAAGTAAATATTATGTAGGATGTCATGACAATATTTTACAGACAATTAACATACCTACCTGTAAACTCGTAAACAACACAGTACGTTAATTTACTTGATTTAAGACTCAAACAAATGGGATTTCAATTATACTTAGCATATTTTCCAGGTTTTGCTAGAAAATTATTAGCTTTACACACAGCATTGATCACAGATAAGTAGTACATACAAGCCGGTAGGTATAAAAAATAATATTGATTTAAAAGCAAAGCAACAGTCGGTAAATTTTAATAGCAATTTTTTATTGCCTTTACCTACTCATTGGAATTCAGAATGTTAAGCCAGCAAATATTAAAATTACGTAAAGAATGGTAAGTCGCTTACCTTCATGTGAACATCCACAATCCACGTCTTGATTGGTATGAGCTCGGGTGATGGTTGGTGCCCTGAAGAAGTGGAACTCCGCCACCGCCATCCATGATTCTTCAATCTTCATACATTTGGGTACAACAAATCTTAAACAAAAACATTAATTTTCAACTCAATTGTAATAATGTTTAAAAAAAATCTGGGCCTTTGCAAAACTCATGGCGCAGGTACACTATGAGGGAAATTGATCGAGACATATAGTGTAAACGCACACTTCAGTTAGTTTCGCCATGCGTCGCCCATACTTCAGTGTGCGTGCTCGCGCTTCGTCTCGGTCAATTTCCTGCAGTGTATCTGCGCCATCACAAAAATCCATCGACGCCTTCTTACAATAATTTATTAACACCTTGTTTTATACTCGTAATAGCCTAGTAATTAACACAATAAACAACAATAATAGTATTTAACACACAGACGCGCAAGACAAGATTTACCTTGTTACTGTTAATTATTATGTAGATGAATGATTGACCAATGATTTTGCATATCACGCCGATGGTCTACTCGAACAAATCAAGCATATGATTGCCTTATACCACTTCAACAAGTGCCTCTATATCAGGTATCGATTACAAACAAGAGTAAAAACACTTGAAACAATGTAAATCAAATAAGTTTCTTACATTTCCAATTAATTTTCATTTTGTCACACTCACGCTATGCACTTTAAAAATAACTATGAACCTTGAAGTTACATTTACCCCCATTCTNTTTTGGGATGGACTGTCCCGCTGAAGCGCGTCTTTTAGAAGATCGGTCGGTATGACAAAAGTATGCAATGACGTCTCTAATTCTTAATCTACCTCCGAATTTGTTTCATCTTTCGCATAGAACTACCCTCATTATTTTGACACAAACGTTCCAGTTCACGCATTACGCGCTCGGAAGAAAATCTAGGGCAATGTATAAGTGGGATAAGTAGCCGGTGGAAATAAATGAGGTATCAGACGTAACAGAATCCTCGGATCGTCTGGAGAGGAAGCATTAATGTTAACTGTAGCTCATATAGTTAACAACAGCGGAACAACGAATTACGGTATTATCCAGCGAAGGACTTCTTGGCGATAAGATAAGATGCGCACACGATTAGCTTAGCGGAGCCGATTAGGAGGCAAATAAAGATTTTGTAAACAAACGAAAATTGCTAAATTTTCCCTGCCTTGTAGCTGTGAAAAGTTAAATATTATTAAATATTATGCTTCTCTAAAACTTATGGACCGAGAGATGTGAAATACCGTTATTTTTTAAATTTTATTTTTCTGTTACTGACATTTTATTTTTGGCATTGAAGTAGACCACAATTGAAAAGGAAGCTGAGTAAGAAATTGGATTCTAATTAAGTAATTTCAATCTTTTAGAACAGTGTACACTGAGCTCTCTGCTTTTTTGCATCGCTGCGGCACACTTAGCGCAGGATTTTCTTTTTTAACCGACTTCAAAAAAGGAGGAGGTTATTTACTCCTTGTAATACTATATCTCAAGTTGTGTATTGACAATTTGACATGATTCGATGTATTCATTTCAATATGCAACTCTATGTGGTATGTATGCGCCCTACTGGATTCCAACACTTCTCAAGTAATGATAGCAAATAAGCAAGCGCTTATTAGCACGCGCGTGAGTGGCCGCTTAGCGCTCATGAACTGTTGTTGGCGCGAGAGGTACTAATCTGTTCGTTAGGGATATTGCACACTGCGCCGCCAGTGGCTGCCACTAAATGCAACCAGGAGTAGGCAAGCCAAGTGTAAACAGGGACACTACTGTACTATTTGTGGTGAACCCAAACATATACAGCATAGGTTATTTAGGCGATTTTATCAAACTGCGTGGCGACATATAACGAATCCCGTGCGCAAACGCGTTGTCAGTGTGTTGTGCCGCGCGTGTTTTCTATACAAACTGAGGTAGGTACTTGCATATAATGATTAAATCTGTCGTCCCGCGTACCGCGGCGGAGCGCGGTGCAGTGTGATAATCGCCTTAGTCAACACAGCGCCTCTGTAATTTACCAAAGACAGAAAGGAGGCTGTAGAGATTTTTCCAGAAGTGGTACCCAAGGGTACCCAAGACGAAAAAACGCTCTAGGTTGGAATATGCAGGGGTAGTGGCAAAACATAACCTATACGATATCTTCAAAATAAGACTAGCCGCCACGAGCATCTTTAGTGGCAGTAGTAGCCGGTCAAGTTATTGGCCGATGTATTTGTTCTTGTACTTAGTACGTACGTGTCTGTATTCGGTACAGTATTTCCTTTTGATATCTTCAAGACAAGAGCACTAAGGTGTTCTAATCTTTTAAGTAAGCGTAGACTTCAGTCACTTTTAAAGTGCGATACACGTCAAACACAAACAAAAACAATTTTGAGCTAGATTTATCCATTTAACTATTTTTTAAATAATGTAGGTTTAAAAAACCAACTGATTTTTAAAAGACCAATGTGACAATGTTATTAAAACCACAAAATAGATTACAATATATTTATTTATTAAAGCAAAACCTATACAATATACTGAATTTAGTCCACACAACTGTGATCAACATACTATATTACTTATCGCATACCGACTCGTGCGGCGTGGGTGATACCTACGAATGGAATGTCGCTTAATACATTTTATGACACTAACAGACATATAATATGAGATGATTATGGTTCATAAAGGTTAATAAATCTATTCTTCAGAAGTTCTTAATGTCGACTAAATGAAAGAGTACAAAATTTACCAAAACAGCGCGTACAAATCCTCAATTAATAAAATTATCATAATGATATTATCAAACATTAAAACAAGTAAAATAAACAATTAGATCTTTATGCTTAACCTACAGACGACACGGCTAACGTTGACCTTTTACAAAATTCGTATTGGACATTTGCAACAATCTTATTATTTTATTGCACACACAAAACAATTTTTCCAGGCATATAGCATCGATATGTTAATTACAATCCAATAAAAGCAGATAAATAAACGATTACATAAAATAGGTACTAAGTACTTGTCACCAGCATTTGTCATGTATAATTTGATTCATGGGGCTTTGTATTTACACCAGTGGCGGATTTACAAATTTGCCGCTAGTAGGCCATTCAATTTTTGCCGCCCCTACCTACTGACTTTTGAAATTCAATACGTTAGTTTAATCCCGTTATTAGTATGATTGTGAACTTAATGATATTTCTGTCAGTTACTAGATTATTATTGCAACCCGCTATGTACTGAAGAGTTTAATGTTGACCTAAAAACTGCAGTATATGTACNATGTGCTTTGAATTTATGAATGGGTAGTTCTACAACAGTTTGTGGTAATTTATTAAAGAATTTAATACATTTTCCCATAAATGAATTACCAATCTTATGAAATCTGAAATTTGGAACGGCAAGTTTATTTTTGTTTCTTGTATTAAAGTTATGCAAATCGCTCTTTTTTGTGAATTGCTCTATATTTTTGCGGACATATAAAAGGTTTTCATAAATGAACTGTGAAGCTACTGTCAGTATGTTAATTTCCTTAAAAAAATCTTTCAAGGAAAATCGGGGTCCAAGGTTATAAATGGCCCGCACTGCTCTCTTCTGCAGAACAAACACAGTTTCAATGTCCGCGGCTGAGCCCCACAACAATATGCCGTATGACATTATACTATGAAAATAGCTAAAATATACTAGCCTTGCCGTTTCAATGTCAGTTAATTGCCTTATCTTTCTCACTGCAAAAGCAGCCGAACTGAGCCTTTTTGACAAAGTTTCAATATGAGGACCCCATTGAAGTTTAGCATCTAAAGTGATGTATAGGTATCAAACAAACTTTTACTCCTTCATTATATTACCCTGTTTTATGTTGGCGGAACGAGTTTTAGAGTAATTCAAATCACGTGCTACAAAAATTGTAGAGAGTGGTAAAAAACTTGAATATGCTTGTAATTTGTTCCTTTTTGATTATCGGTGTACACTCACAAAACCACTAGCCAGCCATATGTCAGACATAGGACGTACACTGCTGAACACAGGCTCCGATGCTGATTTACACAATGGCCGGTTGGTGGCGGCCTGCATCCAGCGCCTTCCTGCTACCTTTATGAGGTCGTCGGTCCACCTTGTGGTTATGAGTGCTACTTCCGAAAACGAAAACGAAAACCTACTACTCCACTTCAGAACCTTGCTGCCTCATCGTCCGTTTGTTTTACGTACTAAGGCAGAACCGTTGGAAGACCTTATCACAATGCTCGAAGACCTTAATCGAGTTTCCCAACAGGTAGGCCTTCGGGTGAATATGGAAAAAACAAAGCTTATGTCGAATGTCCATGTTGCTCCTTACCCAGTTTCAGTTTCGGTTAGGAGCTCGATTCTCGAGATTGTTGACAAGTAAGTATGTCTGTCTCGGACAAACGATCAGCTAGGTAGTTAGATGCAATTTCGAGAAAGAGGTAAATCGTCGAATACGAAGACGAAAGTCTTCAATTAGTGTGTGTTACCAGACCAGTGATGATATTATACGGCTTGAAAATTTGAATATAGGGCACAACGTGCTATGGAGAGGGTATGGTGTTTCTTTACGAGATCTAATCAGAAATGAGGAGCTCCGTAAACTAACTAAGGTCGCTGACATAGCCCGACGGATTAGCAAGCTGAAGTGGCAATGGCAGGACACATAGTACGCAGAACTGACGGTACATAGTCCAGTAAAATTTATGTTTGAAAGGGAGTTGAGATGTCGTTCTTTGTTGACCAACCACCTATCGCAAATGCTTAAATTGATTTAGAACAAGTTAAATTAACCATAAATAGTAAAGATATTAAAATATTTGCAGTGGAACAAAAAGTGATGGTGAGAGACATGAGAAATTCATTGGTCTTTGCCTATCATGTACTTTGGGCTTTGTGGCGAGTTTAAACGCTATGTTTAAAATCTCAATTAAAACTTTTATCTGATTCCGATATTACGATATTGGGTCGCTCAATATCGGAATTGAAATATCGGATCTCGCAGTCCGAGATTCCGATATTACGAGATTCCGAGATTCCGATATTCATGCCCTAGTTAGAACCTACCCCATGCATTTTGTTAAAACCAACCCCACGACCTCATTTTGCACAAAATTATTGTTTTTCTTTTACCGGTTATATTTTCGATTAAAACTTTGAAATTATTGAAAAATACAATAAATTCGGATTTATGCAATACCAAAGCCAATTTTCTACGATACATATTTAAAGAGTAATGCAAAAAATTAAACACGTAAAAAAGTTCATTTTCCTGTGAAATTGGAGGCGTCTGACGCAACCTGCTCCCGTGACGCTTGGCCGGCAACTGACAGGTCGAGACACGTTCGCGCTTATTCNTACAGGGTGGCCCAGAAGAAAATTAACTTTTTAAATTCAAGGAAACGAAAACTGTACCTACATTTTTATAGAACTTTAACTATTGCAATTTAAAGAAAATTTAATGCAATTTATTTTTAAATTTACCTTTATTAAATTACATCGCCCAGGAGATTTCCTTGACGCTTACAACATTCGATCAACATACACAAAATCTTGGAATGCGTTCGTCAGAATTACCTCAAAACCTATTTTAAATTTTTTGCCGAATGCTCAGCTTCAGTTGCTGCGTGGTTGTTGGATTATAAAAGTATTCTCTATAATCTATAAAGTATATTTTGTATTAATGTAACACCACAAAAGATCAGGGCTTCCTGGTGACCAGGAGATGTCACCCCTGCCTGAAATTATTTTTTTGTGGGAACATGTCTCTTACCATCTAAATGCTCTCAGTTGAAGTGTGACACGTAGCCCAATCTTGATGAAACCAAGTGCTCCGGTCATAACCTTGCGAATCTTGCAGCTTTGAAATCAAAAAGCTTTTCAGCCTACCAGTATTAGCGCTCTCAAAAATTAATCATCCTTTCAATGCAACAAACCAATTAAGCAGTGGTGAAATCTCACTGCCTCTAAGAAGCGCTAATCTCATTCCAGCAGACTTCTTTTTGTGGGGTTACCTTATGAGCAGAGTATACTCTCTAATAATCCAAAAACTCTGCAGCATTCATCCATCCTGAATCCATTTTGAGGTAACTCTAAGGCCTCAGCCTCGAATTTAGCGGGCAGCGGCGCGGGAGCGGCGGCGGCGCGGGAGCGGCAGGATCTTATGTGTAAAATCAAATAGACCAAAACAGCGGCGCGGCAGCGGGCAACGAGCGGGCGGCGCACTCCAGTCTAGCGGCGCGGCGTCTTCTTTTGCCCACAATAAATCGAGCGTTAGGAATAAATTTTAATCGAAAAAAAATTGTCGCCGTTGTTTAGAAATTTCGTTCGCGAATAAAAACAAATATCTCGACTACACAACCCCGAACACAACACCAACACTTCGCCGCTAAAGTGCCGCGCGAGCTGCCCGCTTGTTTGGAGAACGGGTCTGCGTTGCCCGCCCCGCTCCCGCGCCGCCGCCGCTCCCGCGCCGCTGCCCGCTAAATTCGAGGCTGAGGCCTAAGGGCTCCTGCTCCTGCGCGGTGCGGCGGCGGCGCGGCGGCTGCGCGGCAGCGGTGTTCACGCGGCGCGTATAAACAGTACAAAGGGGCGGCGACGGCGCGGCGGCGGCGCGGTAGCGGCATCGTGTGCAGGAGCGCTTACGAAAGTTTTACCAAAAAGTTGATGTATGTTGACCGAATGTTGTAAACGTCAAGGGAATCACATGTACGATAAAATTTATAAAATATAGTAAATTTTAAAATAAATTCCACTAAATTTCCTTTAAATTGCAATTGCTTAAGTTCTACAAAAATGTACAGTTTTCGTTTCCTTGAATTTTCAAAAGTGAATTTTCTTCTGGGCCACCCTGTAAAACAATACACACGAAATTGTGGAGAGATAGTTCTCGTGCTAGGCTCCGAAGATCCTGTGTTACGAGTTTTTTATTTTATTTTTATTGAAACGCTATTGGAATATTTTAAAATTCATGATCACATAAGTACCTAAGTATATATTACAGTGCGTTTATTAATCGTTTATTTATATATGGATTGTGTAGGTATACGTATAATTATTATTTTTTTCCTGTAAAAAAAAAATAGCTAAATTTGCCGCCCTAGGCACTGGCCTACTTGGCCTATTGGTAAATCCGCCACTGATTTACACTTGGACATGGACAATGGATGCTAACTTTATTTCCATAATTCATTACTAGGAAGCAGCTTCCAATTTGTTTCATTATATCTAGGATTTTGCGACACAAAAGTTTATTTAATACTTAACTACTTCCATATTTAAAACTTTTCCTGGGACCGGGTTATTTTTCACACTCGTATTAGGTACAAAGCCCTGCACTATAACTTTAGGACTTGCAAGAAAATTGAAACCATCCTTTTTTCATTCAATCTTTTAGAATTTTCAGAATCTGTCCTACATCTATCTAGTTGTTTAACTAAGAGCCTCGTTTGACTCAGACACACCAAAATGCTTTCTTGCAAGTATACGCGTGGAGCACGACTAAAGCATAAATATCTGTACACAAAACAATCACAATATATAAAATCATTTGTAAGCGATGTTCATCACTAGTAACATGCCAATAAAAAATCTTACAACTATAACATGGGACTAACGACTAAAATAACGCTATAAAGGATTATGATAGAAGCAGCACGCGAGTGGACTACTGTATCTAAAATTGTATTGTTTGTAACTTCATTTTAAAAAGAAAAATATCTGACAAAATGGCGCTAACATGATATTTTAGAAACTTTTAGCGAAAGCGAAAGAAAAGGTTACTTATTTTGATATATTAAAATCTCATTATAACAGTTCATTTTACGCCGGAGTTGACCAATATTGACGGGCACTTTGTTGGTCTTGTTTGAATTAGTATCCGCCCTACTAAAATTCAGTTACGTTACTAATTTCGTGAAGCTCCACTATGAAATATTACATGAAGTTACATAGATTAATGAATATTTTCAGTGAATTTATAGATGCGTTATGGCACCAATTACTTGAATCATCTCGCGATAATACTGAACAATGTACAAGTTCTCGAGTTCTGAACGGCACCTTACATTAGGCAATTAATAATTATTGTTATTACTTAAACAGTGCATATTCTATTTCATTATGATAACAAGTCGGAACTTAAAACTTACAATTAAATATGAGAATTGCCTGAAATAAATATGTATAAAATAATTAAATCCAAGAACCACGTATTATTTCGTTAAATTCATATTTCTCTGTGTTAAGATCAAGTTATTTTTTTTTTGATACGTTAATTGTTAATTGAAATCGATATTTTCAAGTGGCGATATTATAAAGACCTAACAGAGATCGCACATCTGATAGATTTAATTTCAGATATCAATAAAAATTAATAAAATGTTTTACAGTTAAACGTCTTATTATTAGTACAGAAATTATAATATTTAGAATACAATATCACATTATTTTTCTCATTGCTTTGTGTTCATGTGTAACATTATGTAAAACGAGCTCACAATAGTGGAATAACGTTACTATCTCAACCAAAATATAATTTGTTATCCGTTACAACGAAATGCAACAAAATTTCACGACATATTTCTAGGAATTGCAACACTGAACGAGATAGTTTCACTATCAAGTCCGCACTAAAAGCTACAAAGACGATATTTGTACTAACCACTCGTAATGCTTCCGTGCACGGAACGAACATTATAAACAACAAGAAATGTATTTCAGGATATGTGAACAACATTAATGTATAAACCGCACAAACAACAAAAACAAAAATGTTGATTTTATCTAAATTTAATTATAAATAGATGCTAGAAAGCGAATGTAGTAGAGCTGAAAATATTAACTATAGGAAAATAAAAACTACCATTTTGACACGGCAACATTTTACTACTAAAATGTTGCCATCTCCTAAAATGCGAATAGTACTAACAATTACACTAAACATTTGCTACCACAATCCCAATCACGACTAAAAGTTTTATAATAATTATACTAGTTGATTATCATATTAGGATTATAAAGGCGGTTATTCGAAAAAGAATACCTAATTGTATATTTTACATTTGATTATAATTGATTTACACTTATTCTAAATAATGTTTTTGAGATGCCAATTTTATAATTTATTACATTAACTTGTTTGAGTGATAAGCATTTGTCGTTGAACTTAATATTATAATGGCTCAGTAATTTGTTTATTTTATCCTTATTTATAACTTGCGATATTATGTATTTTAGATACCAGTAAAGATAGACATGTGACGGTAAAATTATTTTACCATTTTGATATAATAGAAGATCATATGTTTTACTTATAGTAACGTAAGTACATGTAAATTACTTATAGTCATAAGCAAAGATGAATTTCGCTTCGACTTATGAAACCGTTTTGTGAAGAATTATAGGGAAAAATGGAGTTGTCAAGTCTTATGAAGCAGCTTTGAGAAATGAGATGTAGAAATATAATGGCAGTGAAGGAATTTGGAATATTTACCTGATAAATTAAGGTTTTTAAGTCGAAGCGAATGTTAACGTTTCAAATCACCGCGTCATTGTAATTGACACTAAGATACGCATGGCGATTGTTACAAAACTAATATATACATACAGAGCGGAGTCCACAGACAGTTCCAAATACATAATAACAGTAAATAGAGACGCCGCCATTTTGTGAAGTATTGCCAATATAAATCGTAAAATTCAAATAGTTCATTTGACTAAAAATATATAAAATCGAAAGTGAAATCGCCTTTATTCATTTAAAAAAACTGCATTAAATAGAATGTAATTTAATTTAAAAGAAAATTAAAACATGCGTTATGTTAAAATTATTAAACATGATAATATCCAGCGATTATCACGTTTACATTATCGTAATGTAAATGAGAAAAGTGGGAGCGAAAATGTATGTCATAAAATGGCGGCGTGTAATACAATGGGAGAGCTTACTTCTAGAGACGCTTATTCGCCGGTGTCGACCCAGTTCGCCTCTTCCGCTATTCTGTCCATGCAGTTGCATAAGAACTGGTACTGTAAGAAAAAAAATATTTATTAAGTTTCACGATTATACAGAGAGTCCAGGGTGTCCACAGCAAATGTTCGAAAAAATTCCCTGACTTTTCCCTGACAATTTTTTCAAAATTCCCTGACCAACTATGTATACAACGTGTCCCAAAATTCAAGGATAAGCCGACGCCACAGGATGGACATAGTCATGACTACTTTAGGAAAAATAAGGAAAAAAATCTATCTCAATTATTTTTTTACTTACACAATAAATTATGAAATTCAACGAAAATTGACACCCCTTATGATATTTTACATTACCACGACCACAATTTTTCAATTATTCCTGGTTTTCTGTTTATATCGGCAACTTAAGTAGTGCTGCTGTTCACCCCAACTCTTAAAACCCCCAGAATCCTTGCAGTTTTTACACAAAAGTTAATCAAAATATTTTATTTCCTTAAAATTTTGAACGATTTTTACTTTTACTCCACTTTGACTCATCGTTTTGTAAAAAAAAAGTATAAACACTACTGCGGCAAGTTTTTTTAAAGTTGACGCAACTATCCAAGATTCCAAAATGGTACTCTAAGAAACCTAGTCGCAAAAAAGATATGCGTACCATTTTTACAAGCTGTAATTTGTCAAAATGGCAATATCGCAATTTGAGATTCATTCTCGCTTCAGAGAGTATTAATGGGCTTCCATTCTATCAAGAGCTTCTGGAAACAAAAAAAACTTGTTATCCTTCAGAGAGAGACGATAATATTTGTGTGAGTTATCAATGATGGACTTTTTGACGGCAACGTTGTATGTATAGGTCCGCTGGGACCTATACATACAACGTTGTATTAAGTATTTCCCTTAATTATTTTTTTTATTTTAGTAAAAGTTGATGCATACGAGCGCTCGCGAGTGCGAGTCGTTGTTATGTGTCATCAAAAGTGTCCCTTATACACCATATTGTAATTCTGGCAATTTTTCGTGGAAATATTTAACATAAAAAAATCGATTTTTCAACCCTCGATAACTCAAAAGTACGCAGAGATAAATGACAAGTATCTTCGCATGAAATACACAGAATCACTTGTTTTATAACATGTGTGATCGGCATCTTGACATCGTTAAAGAATTTCGAAAAATTGACAGAATCGTAATTTCTTCCATACAAAAAATATGTTTTTTTTTTTTTACTACGAAATAGACGTCGTAGGATTGTATTTTTTTTTTGCCTTATTAGTTATCATAGCAGTAACCATCAAAAACATTTTCGTGCCTTTAACATCAATGTCCATGTTTTATTAAATCGGGGCCACTGTGCGGCTTATCCTTGAATTTTGGGACACGTTGACTATTCGGATAGATCCAGTTAATTCTGTAACCTATTACTGATATCGTTTGAAAGAGCTCGTGAAGCACTTTCAAGATCAGTAAGCAGTTTTTCGATATCTTGTGTAGTTTAGAAATAATCGAATGAGATCACTTATCGTTTCCACCCTGTATTAATAGCACTCACAGTGAACTGCTCACTAGTCTGCACTCAATAATCAAATCAATAAATAATTATAAAAAAAATATAAATAAACATAAGTTATAAGTTGCACTTTCACATCGACAATAGAAAATATATCATTTTACTGAAACAAAAAAGTACAACTATTAAAACAAAAAGGAGTAATCTAGTTATGACAAAAAAATCGTAACATAGATCACTCTAATCCTGAAAAAAAAAAAACTATATGAAAGTAATCTAATTATGAACAAAATTATGTCATAATTTAGATCAATCCACTTCATTAGATAAAAAACTAAAAAGGTATTAAAAATCTACAAAACATTCCGTCAAAAGTGATTTTATTTGCTTGTCAGTTTCACTAAACGCGCACAGGCGGCGGGCTTCAGGCGCGGCAGCGCGACGGCGCGGCGCTGGACGCCACCCTTCGGCAGTATTTTCAGTCTAGCTCCGAATCCACTTCCACGCCCACTTTGAAAGTTGGCATGAATGTTCTACACAATATTAGCTATTTAAATAAAAAAAATTAAAAAAATCGAAAGGGTCGAACTTTGTGAAAATCGAGGAAAAAAAATTAATTTGCATTTTTTTTAGGAAAAAATAATTTTTTTTTCGTTTCCAAAAATACAGTTAAAAAGCACGGTAAATGAAGTAATAAATCCCGTGGTTTAATTATTTTAATATATAATTTTATGACTCCATAATCAGCTTTGAAGTACTGCATGCCAACCGGTTGTCGAAAACTTCGAAGACCCATAACTCTTAAACTAGTCATTATATTACAAAAATATTTGGTACACGTATCAATAATATGTATAGGTAGAACATACTCAAATATTACTGAAATCGGAAACATCGACTTTTTTTACCTGCCCGCTTCGCATGGAATGCCCCATAATTATGACTAAAAACAAAGTCATAATGTAGATCACTCCAAACCTGAAAAAAAAATGCTTCGATAGTCAAGATCAAAGGTATTTCTAGAGCATAAATTAATTAAATCCCTCATTTTACAATCACTGGGAAATTTCGGGAGACAAACAGTGTTTTGGTAGACAAAATCTCAATGTTTCCCTGACTTTCCAGGTGACCCCTCTATTTCACTGACTTTCCCTGACTGCTATGAGCTTCCCTGACTTTCCCTGACTTTCCAGAATGTGGACACCCTGAGAGACAAGTAATAATGCACCGGAAAACCCAGCGTGGGAGGTCCCACAAGGTGGACCGACGACCCCATAAAAGTAGGCAGGAGCTGGATGCAGGCCGCTACCAACCGGGCGATGTGGAAATCATTGGAGGCCTAGTTCAGCAGCGAACGTACTGTGGCTGAAATGATGATGATGAATGATGAACTGATGATGGATTTTATGTTTGTGATGCGTAAGAGATTTGAAAGTTGGGACTTATCTGAGCAGTCATAGTCTTGAGTATTTTCTTACAATTCTTAAAATTTCTCACTAGTTGGCGCCAAAGCAAGTCATGACACTGTGCGAATCGATAGGAGTAGCTATCTTTTTTTCGTTCATCAGTTGGCGCCACTGGTGAGTGACAGGACATTATTTCCCGGTGGCGCCAACTGGTGAATGATCCGGGGAAGCGCCCGTTTAGTTGAATTTGTGAGTGAAAGTGAGAAGCCGATGTGCTGCAAATAATGTTGTAATGGGTAAAACAAAATTCAAATCGTTAAAATTATGACCGTAGAGTAAAAGACAAAAGTTGTCGGGTATCGAAGATTGGCGTAGCCTTGTGAACGAAAGGCCTATTTATTTATTTATTTACTAGCGGCCGCTCGCGACTCGTTACACGTGAGTTAGTTATTTGCACCCTCCCATATTCCCTCTTAACGAAACTCCACCCCGAGTTTCGTAAAATTCTGTTCTTAGCGGATGTCTACATCCTTTAAGGAACCTACCTGCCCAAATTTCAAGTTACGTGTTACAGTTTCCTGAGATTTCGTGACTTCGCTTTTTAGTTAAGTTAGTTTGTTTGGTTTGTGAGAGTTAGTTTAGGTTAGAGAGTTTTTACGAGTAAACTACTCCACCCCTCTGCAAATACGTCACTATGTGAACATGTAAACTTATCATAGTATATTCGTATTTGACACACATATACCGACCATTGCTCGTAAAGACGATGTCCGTTGGGCTGTGCGTTGGGACAGAAAAGTTCTCGAGTGGCGACCACGTGCCGGAAGACGTAGTGAGGGCAGGCCCCCCGCTAGATAGACGACGATTTGGTGAAGGTCGCGGGAGGTGCCTGGATGTGGGCAGCGCAGGATCAGTCGTTGTGGAAATCCTTGGAGGAGGCTTTTGTCCAGCAGTGGGCGTCATTTGGCTGAAACGAAAAGCTGGCGAGAGCCACGTTCTTCGTTGCTGTCACGTTCGAATTGAGCTCTGTGTTTCATTGGCTGACCTGCTCTTCGGCGTCAAAACAACCCTGCGTCTTGTAAAGTTCGGTTGCCGAGCAGATCAAAGACCAAAGTCAAAGTCAAAATTTCTTTATTTGTTTAGACTAATAAATAGTTCTTACAAATCGTCATTTTGCTCTTAAGGAGCCTCTACATGTCTCATAATCTTTTTACCTTACCAGCGCTTCGAGACCAACATTTGGCGAGTGCTGAGAAGAAGCGCCGCAACAAACTCAGTTACCCATCTTTATCGCTCGCTTTTAATTATATTGCTGTCGCGACTGTGCGACGGGCGGCTGTAGTGAGTGTGCGAGTGCGACAGCAATATAATTACACTCGAGTGATAAGGATGGGTAGCTCGGGGTCATTGGACGAGATTATCTGCTCGGCGACCGGACTTTAGTCACACGCTGCTCAGCACGCTGCGCGTAAAGGATGGGTAGCTCGGGGTCATTGGACGAGATTATCTGCTCGGCGACCGGACTTTAGTCACACGCTGCTCAGCACGCTGCGCGTAAAGGATGGGTAGCTCGGGGTCATTGGACGAGATTATCTGCTCGGCGACCGGACTTTAGTCACACGCGCCGCCGCCTCGTCCGCACGCTGCCTGCACGCACGCGCCCGGTGTGTCCCGCCTGCACGTGTACTGACGTGAGCTCGCTCTCCCGAGATTCGGTTCGTACGCCGTGAAAAAACTCAGTAAAACTCATTTATTTCTGTAAGTAGGCTTTAAAAAAAGCACTTTTACACGTCCCAGTATTAACCCTACCACTGAGGGTAGGAGGTGAGGCAGGAAGAACCATGGGTGGTGGTGGGATTTGCAGGTGTACTGACCGCGGGCGTGTGGAGCGCGAGCGCGCGCGGCGGCTGGTCGCGGCGCGAGTACAGCAGGCGCAGGGCGGCGGCGTCGTCGTCGGCGCGCCAGGAGCGCACGCTGCGCCAGCGCACCTCCACTGAAGCCTCCGGTGTGTGTCCGCCCTCCTCGCTCCACGCGGTCAGCTTGAGCCCGTTCCAACCTGTCAAATGTTTATTTATTTATTTATTAGGTACACCAACAAAGTCACATACATAATACAGTTATACATTTTAACATGGTTTAATACATGATACGTATATGACCTCTCTCACTGTGCGCCAGTGCGTTCGGTGCCGACGCGTGCAAGGTACAACATTCATATCTAAAGTGAGTGTTGCAAATCGTGGGGGACGCGATGCTCGCTTGTCGCAGGTGTTACTTTTGTTTATTCATATTTATTTTAGATACAAGTGTATTCATTTAGCAGCTATAATTGATTTAACTTACATACATAGATTTTATTCCCCACTGACAGTATTTTTCTATGCCGCTGAGGTCAGCCAGCGGAAGTATTTCTACTTAAATTACAAAAACTACTTATTATTTACATTTTATTATTATTTAATTTAAATTCTTTTTTTTTCTTTCTGATTTTGCTGCTCAAGAAAGCACAAAATTTTTATTTACCTACATACGTCTCACGCCCCTCACTTTGGTGGCATCTGGGAAGCTGGTGTCAAATCGGCCACATATAANCGGTGCGCGCGCCGGTAGTCCGCCTGCTGGGCGCCGGTAGTCCGCCTGCTGGGCGCCGGTAGTCCGCCTGCAGCCTACACTCACCCACGGTGACGGCGACGGCGGGCGTGGCGCGCGAGTCGGTGCGCGCGCCGGTAGTCCGCCTGCTGGGCGCCGGTAGTCCGCCTGCTGGGCGCCGGTAGTCCGCCTGCAGCCTACACTCACCCACGGTGACGGCGACGGCGGGCGTGGCGCGCGAGTCGGTGCGCGCGCCGGTAGTCCGCCTGCTGGGCGCCGGTAGTCCGCCTGCTGGGCGCCGGTAGTCCGCCTGCAGCCTACACTCACCCACGGTGACGGCGACGGCGGGCGTGGCGCGCGAGTCGGTGCGCGCGCCGGTAGTCCGCCTGCTGGGCGCCGGTAGTCCGCCTGCTGGGCGCCGGTAGTCCGCCTGCAGCCTACACTCACCCACGGTGACGGCGACGGCGGGCGTGGCGCGCGAGTCGGTGCGCGCGCCGGTAGTCCGCCTGCTGGGCGCCGGTAGTCCGCCTGCTGGGCGCCGGTAGTCCGCCTGCAGCCTACACTCACCCACGGTGACGGCGACGGCGGGCGTGGCGCGCGAGTCGGTGCGCGCGCCGGTAGTCCGCCTGCTGGGCGCCGGTAGTCCGCCTGCTGGGCGCCGGTAGTCCGCCTGCAGCCTACACTCACCCACGGTGACGGCGACGGCGGGCGTGGCGCGCGAGTCGGTGCGCGCGCCGGTAGTCCGCCTGCTGGGCGCCGGTAGTCCGCCTGCTGGGCGCCGGTAGTCCGCCTGCAGCCTACACTCACCCACGGTGACGGCGACGGCGGGCGTGGCGCGCGAGTCGGTGCGCGCGCCGGTAGTCCGCCTGCTGGGCGCCGGTAGTCCGCCTGCTGGGCGCCGGTAGTCCGCCTGCAGCCTACACTCACCCACGGTGACGGCGACGGCGGGCGTGGCGCGCGAGTCGGTGCGCGCGCCGGTAGTCCGCCTGCTGGGCGCCGGTAGTCCGCCTGCTGGGCGCCGGTAGTCCGCCTGCAGCCTACACTCACCCACGGTGACGGCGACGGCGGGCGTGGCGCGCGAGTCGGTGCGCGCGCCGGTAGTCCGCCTGCTGGGCGCCGGTAGTCCGCCTGCTGGGCGCCGGTAGTCCGCCTGCAGCCTACACTCACCCACGGTGACGGCGACGGCGGGCGTGGCGCGCGAGTCGGTGCGCGCGCCGGTAGTCCGCCTGCTGGGCGCCGGTAGTCCGCCTGCTGGGCGCCGGTAGTCCGCCTGCAGCCTACACTCACCCACGGTGACGGCGACGGCGGGCGTGGCGCGCGAGTCGGTGCGCGCGCCGGTAGTCCGCCTGCTGGGCGCCGGTAGTCCGCCTGCTGGGCGCCGGTAGTCCGCCTGCAGCCTACACTCACCCACGGTGACGGCGACGGCGGGCGTGGCGCGCGAGTCGGTGCGCGCGCCGGTAGTCCGCCTGCTGGGCGCCGGTAGTCCGCCTGCTGGGCGCCGGTAGTCCGCCTGCAGCCTACACTCACCCACGGTGACGGCGACGGCGGGCGTGGCGCGCGAGTCGGTGCGCGCGCCGGTAGTCCGCCTGCTGGGCGCCGGTAGTCCGCCTGCTGGGCGCCGGTAGTCCGCCTGCAGCCTACACTCACCCACGGTGACGGCGACGGCGGGCGTGGCGCGCGAGTCGGTGCGCGCGCCGGTAGTCCGCCTGCTGGGCGCCGGTAGTCCGCCTGCTGGGCGCCGGTAGTCCGCCTGCAGCCTACACTCACCCACGGTGACGGCGACGGCGGGCGTGGCGCGCGAGTCGGTGCGCGCGCCGGTAGTCCGCCTGCTGGGCGCCGGTAGTCCGCCTGCTGGGCGCCGGTAGTCCGCCTGCAGCCTACACTCACCCACGGTGACGGCGACGGCGGGCGTGGCGCGCGAGTCGGTGCGCGCGACAGGGAAGGCGATGTCCCCGTAGCCCGGCAGCGTGCGAGCGAGAGCGAGATAGTCGGCCGCGCGACGGACATCTTGTAACGCTTTCAGTTGGTACAAACGCGCGCCCGCTACGCACACGCCACGGTTCACGTCTTCCACTGCCTGGAAATGACAAAGAAAAAACTTTGATGTACAGTCGCGGAATGAAAAGGTTCGTCACCTTAGTGTCGGTTTTCGCTTGCACTAGGTACTGTAAGAGTCAAACCTGCCAACATAACAGTGCAAGAAACAGTGCTGCTAACATTTAAATAAATATGACGTTTGCTAACGAATAAGGTTTTGCTTGTTTATTTTTCTTTCCCATCAGTGCAATGCAATGTTGACATTGACCAATTGACAATAGTTTTTTTTTATTTAATAGAAATAATAATGGCAGGTTAAACCAACAAGAAGGTTCAGTTTATCAATCATAATAATCTTCTTGACAAGTTAAATCGTCAAACAACTTTGATCTGAATAATTTTGAACTTTACTGACGATCAGTTAAAGATTATTTTCTCTAACTCGAGATTATTCTGTAACATAGTTTCAAAAGGTAATATGTGCTCGCGATTCGTTGAAGTAATCAATTTGAAAACTGACGAACATTTTCATTCCGTGACTGTACATCACTGGCTTTACGACGCTGCGAACTAGTACAGGCGACAGCGAGCCGAAGCGCGCGGGGCGTGGCGACAAAACCTAATCTTAGTATTCAGCGCGCAATCCTAGTGCGCATTAGATCGGCTTCTGTATACGACCTGTGTGTGTTTTAGACACAAAAAACTGAATGATTGGTTTTAGTTTTTAATCGTTAATAGACCGGCCGGCGCCAAAAACGAATGAGATCTTGCCACTCCCTAGTGACTTTGGCAGTGGCGGAAACTGAGATGAACGCTTAAACATAGTCATAGTCATAGATCGAAATCACTTATACCACGTACATTAAGTGCTCTCAATCGTTTCCTGGACCAAAACCCAAAATGTGACGTATTTGCAGAGGGGTGGAGTACGTTACTAGCAGAATGTTTGGGTTACTGTGAAAATAATCGCATCTGATTTATGTACTTTTCCTAAATTAAGTTAAATTGTTTATAAGTTCTTAAATGTTATTCAGAGGTGGAATTGTGTAAAGCAATCGTAATCATTTGACAGTTTATAACGTACGATTATTCTGTCAAACGCTTTGTTTAACTGACTTTATTGTACGTTATGAACTGTCAAATGATTACGATTGCTTTACACAATTCCACCCCTGAACTTTGTTACGTCTTGTGTGAATAGTGTAATTGGTACTACCGTTCTATTCATGAATAAATAAATAGTATTTTTTTCACTCCCCAGTTGGCGCCATTAGCTAATAAGATTTTTTCAGTGGCGCCAACTGATGTAAATCACGGTCACCCTCGTCACTAAAATCAGTTCTTTTTTTTCATGTCACGATATATTTTTTACCAAATAATTGACATCCTCTTTACTGGGCTCTCTCGACTTTACTCGCTCGGCTCACCTGCCAGAAGATGAAGGCAGCGGCCTTGGGGTCTTCGCTGACGACTTGCACCTCGCGCGCGGGGTTGAACAGCCACTTGCGGATGGCCAGGCACGAGCTCGACGCCGTCGAGTAGTTCTGGATGTAGAGGGAGTGAGGACACTCGTTGGGCTGGAGTTTGCGTTCTGAGGATAGAGAGAAAAATTAGGTTCCTTTCTAAAAAAGGAATTGAACACTAGCGTCCTTCGAACGTCGTTGACTTGCCAACGCCCGCTAATGAGGGCTATCGTTTTAGCGCTCACCAGTTAGCGCCACTGTAGAGTAAGGTCCTGTCACTTGCTAGTAGCGAAGACAGTGGCGCCAACTGGTGAGCGCTAAAGTGGTAGAAAGACTATCGCATTTGCACTCATCAAGATGGCGCCACTGTAGAGTAAGGTCCTGTCACTTGCTAGTAGCGAAGACAGTGGCGCCAACTGGTGAGCGCTAAAGTGGTAGGAGGACTATCGCATTTGCACTCATCAAGATGGCGCCACTATAGAGTAAGGTCCTGTCAATCGCCAGGGGTGCCAACTGTTAAGTATAAAAACGATAGCCCTCATTGCTCATAAGATAAGCCCCCTTAATTGATATTTATTGTCCATGGTAGATATCTTTTCATAAAGGTTTGTCACCTGTCATTATACCTTTGTTTGTCACCTGTCATCCGCTTTGCAATGGAGGGAAGTCGAACCTTAATTTCGAACTCCTATGTTCTTCTGATTAATTTCGTTGCGGGTCCAATGACAGTTTAAACTTTCCCCCGGGACAAACTTGACCTTCATTGGTTGGGTTTTTTTATGGCGGTCAAGCTGTAGATCCTGGTTACACAGGAGTTGCAGCGGTGGAAACGAGAGGTGGGAATAGTCCCGTATGTTGCCAACGCCCGCGCAATGTCCCTGAGAGCGCTTGTAGACGTCCGTTTTTTTCACCGGATAACGGACCGTGTTTTTCACCGGATTTAGCGGTGGTGTATGGTTTATAATGAACGTGTGCACATGCATCGGACATTGGTCCGGCGAGAAAATTGACAGCAAACAAAGGATATCCGTTTTTTGACGGTCCGTCGTCCGGTGAAAAAACGGACGTCTACAAGCGCTTTGAGAGGCCAACGCAGTTTTTTTATGGGTAAGTACAGTTACCCCCCACTTTGCTGTTGCGTTACTTGTCAGAAAATTTGACGTCATGCAGACGCTTAGAGATATTCGTGGGAGACCAACGAATTAGAACGCGGAACTTTTACCATTATTTCGTCAGATTTATTTTCAAATTAAGCCAGAAATTAATTATGACATTTTAATTGACGCTTAGTTATTAAAAACGGTCCACATTGGCTATATTTATGACGACATCACATGCTAGACAAAGACAGCAACTCAATTCTGCACACACCATACTCTTTACATCTCTACAAAAAAATTACAAGTTCTTACCAAAATTATACTCGACGATCTCGAACAAATAGAAGTAGTCATACAGCGACTTGGACAGGCCAATCTTCTCGCACACCGCGCGGTACACGTCATCAGCATTGGTTGACTTGAGGACCGACACCGTCACCACTTCCTTGTCTGGCAGGAGCACTTTGAGTTCGACTGGAGAGGGGTTGGACGAGTCGTCAGAGTCGGTTAGGAACTCCTGGACTGCGTCTGACTCGGCGATTACGCGGACGGCGCACACCTGGAAAAATTTCGGTTTTATAGTAAGATCGTGAATATGTTTTGAAATCTTGAGGCAGGGGACACAAATTACTTTGTACGTCCTTTAGGACATGGTAGTAGGTATAAATTAGCAGGATGGACACTAGGGTTCCAATTCAACTGAGATTAGTCGACTATACACTAACATTTCAATCATAACAACGAAGCCATTTCGTCTTTGAGTCAGATTCGCTGCGTTTCTAAAATGAGGAAGCTACATGCAGGTATTTTGCCATCTAAACAGTGATGAATCTAAATAATGCAATTTGTTAGAATATTTACCTTTTCTAAATACTGTTCAAGACCTCTTCTCCTGGCGTCCAGTTGCTGTTCGCTTAGCGTGAATGGCCATTTGCCTGGTAGCTTTGGGAAATTGAAACCTGTTGACACACAATAAATATTATTTATTTTCAATGGCAATTTCGTATAGAAAACAATGTCAACAACTTTGTAGTAGAATCATAGAGATATAGAGAGATGCCAATTAATGCGCTGAGTTCGAAACTCAGTGTCGCATTACAAATTCACAATCAAAGTAAACAAAATATGTTCTCCTTATCCACTGCGGTATTAGTACTCAACGTTCGAATAATATTTAGTACTACGCAAGCAATGTCGTTGTTGTTGTTTACATCATAACGACGCTGCTGTCATCATTGCTGTCACGAGCAATGTGTTATGTTTTTGGGCGTATTGCTGGGACACCGGCCACGCCTCCTTTTCACATCTACCTTTGGTTTCTGTGAGTATAATACTACAAGAGGATTAAGTAGTTTTTGGCTTACCTAAGAACTCTTTCCTCAGCTGCTGATGCAGAGCCGCGAACTCCCTATACCGGCGGCTGCACAAATGCCTTCCCGCCATATGCACGTTAAAGGCCACGTAGGAGCGCCCAGTGTTGCGCTCCATCACCAACCGGTAGTCCGGGATGGAGACTGGCAGCGACCGCTTGTCGGTGTAGTCGTAGCGCTGGTAGACCGTCGCGCGGGAATTCGCCGCACCGCCGATGACGCCTACCGGGGCAGAGCCGTCGTCGCATGGCTCTAGGCGTTCCGCTTCCTGGATTAAGGATAACAAAAGTGATGTTTGCTAAACGGTAATAAGCAACAAAGTAACTAAGGAACTGCTAAAGTTAAAAAGATACAAAGCTTGTGCAGTTACTAGAATACTAACCGGCCACTGCAAACTAAACAAACACAAATCAAACATGAACATGACCGAGGAAACTCTGTGCAGATTCTGCCATACAGAACAAAAAACGGCCATGCATGTTCTTTGCTCATGCGGCCCGCTTATGAGCAAAAGAAGTATCCATCTCGGGCGACACATCATGCACCCGGATGAGATAGCAGATATCACATAATAATCTGGAAATTTATAGACTCAACGGGACTAAGCAGTGAACTCTAAAGACAAGGGCTGCCACAATAGATCAAACCTGGTCGAGCTGGCACAAATGAAGGCCCAAAAAACCAATAATAAACGGTAATAATCATGCAGAAACAACAACTCCTGTATTGTAGGAGAAAGGTCCGGGAATCGGGAGCCGTTTGAAAGGCATATAATATTCCAATGTGGAAACATGAGTCGGCCAATTTTTTTATCAATGTGGTAATGATTGGTACAGTAATTTTGTACTTTGATTTGTTGATTATGTCATCAAAATGTTAAGCTGGTCAAATAATTTCGATATCTGCTGTTTTATTATGACTATCAATTATCTGGTAAATTTTATAGATAAATATTTATCTGTCTGAATTTTCCAGACTGATATGGCAGTGCATGCTTTATCTTTTTAATTTGAACTTGCATAAAGGTCATGACGACTAGGGTGAAAAGTTCACCCTAGTTTTTATAATTACGTCATAAAAGCACCTTTTTGGGGGCTCTACCTGTAGGAAATACTATCGGTAACTCACCCTCTGTGTGACAGATATGACTGTGAGCGTGAGACAGTCGCCTCCCGACTTGATTAGGTCCACCACCTGCCTGTGGGTGGAGCCTTCCACGTTCACGCCATTACTGGAACAAACAAGCAACAAATGAGACAGTATTCTTATGTAGACTGCTTGTAAAACATCAATAGTATGGTCAAGGGCATCATAGTTGGACAATCTCGCCCTTCTGTACCTATACGTTTTAAAAATACTGTAATTAAGTACCTACATAATATTTGATAGGATCTAATTCGTAATTTTTCGGGATAAAAAGGGAGACATACAGTTGGTTTTAAAACCAGTTTAAAGTGGAATTTGGTTTTAATTACTTTTTCTCTCATAACTTAAATGTAACCATAGCAGAAAAGCGCTGGATGCAGGGCGCTACCAACCGAACATTATGAAAATCATTGGGGATTCAGAAATGGACGTCCTATGGCTGATATGATAATGAACCATAAGGCCCAGAACAGACGGTGAAACGCAACTGCAACGAAACTGCAACTTTCTGATGATTCTTATAATTGAAACTGAAACTGAAAGTTTCAAACTGGTCGCGTCATTTGTGGTCTCTCAACGGACGCTATGGCAGAAACTTAGATGCAACTCAAAAGTAACTAGCAGTTGCAGTTTCGTTGCAGTTGCGTTTCACCGTCTGTTCTGAGCCTAACTGAGCATTTTAATTTAATGTTGATCCTCTTTCTGGTGTCTAATTTGCTGCATATAACAACACATAGTCGTCATAGGATTTCTCAGCCTTCGAATTTGCTCCTTCGTCATGCGCTGACGTGAGGAACAAAGTGAAACGCAATAACCGTCCAGTAACTGTTATCTATCTTTACGTCCGACGCATGTTGTTCCAGTAATCTGTTGTACATCACGACTAAATATAGTTTGGAATCATAGTTTATGAGACTCTCCAACTGCTCGGGTCAAGATCGGTGAGACACGTGAACCAGCTGCGGCGTAGTAGGAAAATTGGGCTCAACTTTGAGGAAATGTAACAAGCTGTGATCAGAGATTCCAGTCACAAAGATAAAACCTGTTATTTGTCTTAATAATAATCTGATATGACGCTAATGTTTGAGATAGGATGATACGATGCTGACTCAGTCTGACCGTCACGGTACCCTCCGAAGCAAGAGTTGACAATATTAAAATTTTCTGTTTATTATTCAGGACATTTTTCTTTTATTAATTCCACGGCACCTTAGCTTGGCTTAGCTTCCCTTCAGCTTGTTACGAAATTAATGGATGGCAATGTACATTTAGTTAAATGTAGAGCGGTAGTAGATTGTAAACTAGCATACCTATATCGTGACAATTTCTTTGATTGCAGTTTGCGTATTATGTAAACTTGACATACTGGCTGATAGTAAATTACATCTTACTCTAAACACGAGTTAGATAAGTGTTTGGGGTCATTAACATGCAAACAAACAACATCACGTAATGGTTAATTATGCGATCTTTAAATAAAGATAAAATTAGTTGAAGTACTATTTACGAACAATAGTAAATACTCGAGGGATTTCTGAAACATAAATAATAACTTGCGGCTGATTACACCAAATTATACCTAAGTTAGACCAGATGTCTTTAAAAACCAACACATCCACTTACAAGCCAATCAATCTTGGTGAATAGGTACTAGTCTTCCTTAAACGGACTATACGGAGTAGGATACTATTTATCTAATAATCATAAGTTAATGCTCCATTAACTAACGAATAAATAACTTAATTATCTTATTGTTTAAAGAACAATAAACGCATTAGTAAAATAAGAAAACAATTTAATTTTATTAGATAAGGAAGGACACTAATAAAAAGTCTATTTCTTTGTTCCTTCGTTTACTTTGATTACATAATGTTTTCGAATGTAATGTAGATATTGATAATTTCATACTAAACAAACAGAATATAACTCGAAGTTTAACTACCGTAGGTCGCGACTATCTGGAATTCGGGTCAAGTCATACTGACCCACATTTATTTTGGTTCAAAGTAATAGTATTGCTTTATTACATTCTCAGGTAGGTACATACAGCTTGCTACTGGTAAAAGAGCTGAAAAACTCATTCAACCGCTTTGAAAAAGAGACAAGAATGTAGTAGCAGTTGGGTATATCTAATGCTATAATGATAACTCTTGAAGGATGCTGAATTTCTACAGCATGGTATTTAACGAAAAGTTAACAATGTCTCCACTCCTCTATCCTTAACATAATAAACTTGACCTTCACTGGTTGGGTTTTTTATTGGCGGTCAAGCTGTAGATCCTGGCTACACAAGCAGCGATGGGAAAGAGAGGTGGGAATAATCACTTTTAACCTTAACATTTCTTGTGGAGATCGTTGAGGATATCTGACAACACCAACTTGGGTAGAAAGAAGCTTGCCAATCAGAAGAAACCCGGCACAAATAAGTAGGTATATTCACCTCTAAAGTGATAAGACAAGGTGAGAGAAAGTATAAGATACCAAGGTCAAGAGATAACAAATTCTTGCTCTTGAGGAATGTCTGTATTTCTCAAGCCACATCCAGTGTCTTGCTATATCCTGAAAAGTTGAGACGTTTGTGAAGGGTTCATTTTCAGAAAAAACTGTATCATCTAGCATTTGCCTTACCGAGCTTCTTCCTGCTCAGCTGCTTCCGCTTGCTCTGGCGTCTCCAAGTCGTAAATCTCGAAACCGGTGCGGGGACAGTAATAAAAACAATAACGAAAGCTCCCGGTGCCACCCCTTTGAACTGACATGTTCGCACAAGCTTCTCGTACACTTCACTGACCATTGACACAAGCACAAGACGCGAGCTCCAAAACTCAAGTCTCAACGACTGGAGTTTTATTAAAGTTTAATTTAATTCTTGCCCTTTGTCGAGACAAAGTCTTCGTATATCGGTTTAATAAGTTCACAAAGGGACAGAATTCTAAGATTCACATTACGAACGAAAAATCGTCAACGTTAACTGACGATCTTCAGATCGGGACGCGCCAAGCTGAATGAGCTCTCAAACGAAACTTGGCCGAAGATATAAACACGCGTGCAGTACAACCATTACGGGTTAGTAATGACATTATGTGCATTAGACGAGGCTAATGACAATGTAAACATTGATAATGTCAGTTATTGCGACGTTTCGGAGGGCGGCAATTGGTTCATGTTGTTGCATTTGATACAGTTTTAAATAATAAATCAGGATATTCCTAGGTACTTTTGATATCTTAGGAAGGTATGAACGTATTATTTTACCACGAATGCCTATTCGTGATAAAATAATACGTCCCTATACGTATCTACTGTTAATTATGAAAAATCTAAAACGTTAAAATAGCGGTATCGTTATAGCCAATGAGATGCTGTCATAATGCTGTCACGAGAATCAAACGTCAGAATAGAGGGACGCGCGGAGACGACTCCGCGCGCTTTTGTGCTAAGTGATGAATTGTAATTAAAATAAGGCAATATAATGTGAAAGATGAGTATCCAGTGTTTTATTTATGAGAATAGATCGACCGGCCTCTAATAGTTCAGAAGTGAGATCTGAAACCTATGAAAGTAACGTGATTTCAAAGTGTTCCAGGTGACCAATGTTTCGTGTTATTTGTCACGAATGTTAACACAAAACGCCCACGATTCTATGATTATAATTGAATATGATGAAGAGAGAATGTCAAGGAAACCACGCTGACAACTGTGTGAGATGCAGAAAAGTATTTAAGTACGAGAAATGATGGACGCAAATTATGAGGATACTCCCTCCGTAACTTGGCTTGTGGTCACGTAAGTGGTGAACAATTTGACTAACGATGGCCCCAGAGCAGGTACGATTTATTATTATTATCGATTATTCCAACAACAACAATATTAACACATTTCCTTTTTGAGCAAAATAATGCATGGAAGTGAATGAAGCATCAAATGTTATAGGTATTGTCAGTCTTTACTGATAATGCCAGGAATGTGTGTGAAAGCTATGGTATGTGCTCACTTTAATTGCAATGCCTAATAAACTATTTTAGTAAATCAAATTAAATTGAACGGTGTTCATTTGTTCATGTTTACATTCTGCAAAGAATAACTTGTAGAGATTTAAAATCTATAAAGAATAGATAGAATTTGGTCAGATAAATTAAATAAGTTTGGTGATCATGCCCGAGTAACCTCTTGGCATTATTTTGGAGAAGAATTAATAATTAGTTTTATTCAAGTAAATTGAAGCTAAGGTCTGTGTTGTGTAAACCAGTTTTAGTATCATGATGTTTCTTTCTTGATGTTGAGCACTAAAAGATGAGATAAAATATATTAATTAGCTTAATTTGTAAATTGAAATTAAGCAAAGCAGCCAGTTATGCCGTTGAACGGTATCCTTCCGTTTGGCCAAATTACTTTTCGCCAAATTTCACTTCGCAAACAACTTATCGCCAAAGTTTCATTTCCCAAATGAACATTTAGCAACTGTACTTTTCGCAACTAATTCATTTGGTCAAATTATCATTTGGTAAAATTTTACTTGGCAAATGTTTATATAGCAAATGTTTTATTTTGCCAAATATTATATCCCAAATAATTTGTTTGGTCAAATTGACACTTCACATACTTACCCACCGTTACCCACAAATCAAAGCATAAGGCACATGATCATGGTTTTCACAAGAATTTTATGTAAAACAAAGAGATTGCAGAAAATAGTATGGTTGCAAAAAGTAGGTATTGCAGAAAATAGTAGGTTAGGTTAGGTTAGAACAGTGACCCTATGCGCGAAGGCGAGCGAAGCGTGCCGCGGCAGCGGCCGCCGAGCGCTAGAATCACCTCTATTGTTAATGAATCATTAGGAAATTTCGATAAAAAGAATGAAATAAGAAAATTAATTTAGAACAAATTTTATATTAACTACCCACTAAACAAAATAATAACCACAAGCTAATTTGTATTCCATTCTATGCACCAATCAAATAATTTTAAAAATAGTTTATGGTGAAATATTTTTGCCAAATGAAACATTTGGCAAAACATACTTTGCCAAACAAAAATTTGCTAAACAATAATATGCCAAAAGCGACATTTGCGAATTAAAAGTTTGCAATAAGTTGTTTTGCCAAATGAGAATTTGCCAAATGAAAATTTGCGAAACGTTGTTTGCGATGTGATAATTTGGTAAACGTTTTTTGGCCAAACATTAGTAATCCCCGTTGAACATGTGGTGTATTTTTGGTACTAGTGATTGATACTTCAATTATTGTGAAACATAATTATTATTATGTTACATGATGCTATATTTTTAGTAAAGATAATGTTAATATTGAACTTTTCCAACTTATCAATTAATTTCTGCTGCCAGTATTGATTTGGGTTGTATTACTAAAATTGAACATTAGTGTGGGTGACCAAAATTTATTCAATTATGATATTACATTGTTATAAAATGTGGTACATTTAACTTGAAGGGTATTCTTGTGTACAAGCCATTATTGTTAATTATTGTCGCATGGTAAAAATGATTTTAATCTTGAGGTTATCTGTTAGCTGTTTAATAAAAAGGTTACTGGTTGTAGCATATTGTGTGTGCATATTTTTAGATTTGACTTGAGTTTTAGATGTGGTGACTTATCTGTCTGCGGGTTGGCCCTGTGGTGAGCAAATCAGTCAAGCACAATACCTGAGTGAAGCTGAACACTGAGCAAGGGTACTCCACATAAGTGATTTGGAGTTGGATTGAAGGTATGCAATACAAAAGGCATCAGCTGTGATATTTGGTGAGTGAAAATGCAATACAAAAGGAATCAGCTGTGATATTTGGTGAGTTGAATTAATGTTTTGTTGCAAGGGTTGGGCTGAGACTAGCAGTGCCACTGCGGCTTGGTTGTTTAACTGTGCTTATTCTTGTCATTGGCATGAAATTGCATACAATTAACTTGAGTGTGAACAGATTTTAATAATTAATTAGCTACAGTCTACTGCTAGACTTTAGAACTTCCCAACTGCCGCTAGCAGCCTTATGCAAAAAGTTATTTAAAGTACTTGGGTATTTCTTGTGAATGCTTTGAGGATGGTAACCTCATTGAAGTATTTGCAATTGTGCTGTTACCTAAGATAATAACAAGAAGTTTATTTTGATAAAGTTGCATTTGTGTGTGGAGCAACTTGGTGTTCACCCAAACACAATGTTAAGCATCAATATGTTTCACTTGCATTGTTTTGTTGTCAGTGATGATTTATGTAGTTGTGTTATTCATCTTAATATTTTGATAATGTTGTGGTTATGGGAATGATTTGAAAATAATAATAATAATAATGTATATGATGTACTTGTTGATCATACACCAGTGGACATTGTCATGAAGCTGGGCGGACATTGTCATTCTGCGTGAGATGTCCTGATATCTGTGTGAGGAGGACATGTGGCATGACATGACAAGCTATGTGGAATGGCCTAAGCTGTGTGGGGTTAAAGTGAAAATGTTCAAAGAACCCTAACTAATCCCATAAATCATTAAGGATGATGATGATGGTGTATAGATATACTGTATGATGATTTCTTGTGTCAGCAGAGCCGAAAGTAGTCAGCGTGGAGTGCAGCGCGCCTAGCGGCGCCAGCTGCAGGTGCCCGCGCGTGGGCGGCGGTGGCGGCTCAAGCGCGGCGGGCCGCAGCGGCGCGACAGCCAGCTCGGTGCAGTGCGGTGTGGCGCGCGGCGCGGTCGGCATGCGGCTGCTCCTGCCGCGTGTCCACCGGGTGCCACCAGCTGTGTGTAACATGTTATGACAAGCTATGTCAGACATGTCATGACAAGCTGTGTGGGATGTCTGTGTGACATCAGGAATTGTGAAGATGCCGTGCCTTGTGTGGGAGACATCATGAACTATTGACATGTGGTATTGTCATGAAACTATGTGGATTCGGGCAGCAGCGCGGTCGGCGCGCGTGCTTCGGGCAGCAGCGCGGTCGGCGCGCGTGCTTCGGGCAGAAGCGCGGTCGGCGCGCGTGCTTCTGGCAGCAGCGCGGTCGGCGCGCGTGCTTCGGGCAGCAGTGCGGTCAGCGCGCGTGCTTCGGGCAGCAGCGCGGTCAGCGCGCGCGCTTCGGGCAGCAGCAGCGCCAGCAGCGGCAACGGCTCGCGCTCGGCGCGCAGCAGGTCGCGCGCCAGCGAGTGCGCGGGCAGGCGGTGCAGCCGGGCGAGTCGGCGCGTCACGAGCGGCGCCAGCGCGGCGGGCGCTGCGTGGTGCGCGGCGCGGTCGGCGCAGCAGGAGTCCAGCAGGTGCCGCGCGTGCAGCAAGAACGCGCGGGCGGAGCCGGTGCGCGCGTGTTGGAGCAGCAGGGCGCGCGTGTGGTGCGCGAATGGTGGTGGAGATGGGAGAGTGGACCTAGCAAGGTGCACAGCGGATCCCAATACGAGGCGTCAAGTGTGCCTTGGGTAGAGAAGACCTTCGAGGGCGAAGGAATTGCAGGAAGGCCGAACTGTTAATTATGAAAAATCTAAAACGTTAAAATAGCGGTATCGTTATAGCCAATGAGATGCTGTCATAATGCTGTCACGAGAATCAAACGTCAGAATAGAGGGACGCGCGGAGACGACTCCGCGCGCTTTTGTGCTAAGTGATGAATTGTAATTAAAATAAGGCAATATAATGTGAAAGATGAGTATCCAGTGTTTTATTTATGAGAATAGATCGACCGGCCTCTAATACTACGTAGAGTGTTTTTTACACTTTCAGGAATGTATAAATGTCTTCATGACTTACACATTACACAGCCTTTATGACACAGTTACTATGTTCTTTCATTCCATATTTGGAACACTTTTGTGGTTATAAAATTGTCGTATTTACAAAAATTCAAGGCAAGGTCACTGGATGAAAGTTTAATGTCGAGCTTACAATTTGATTTGTAATTTATTGATTTCAGGTTACGAGGTTTTTGGGTCAAGCAAAGAATTAAATATCCGGATTTATTCAAGCGAATATGATAAGTGTTATGTATTTACAATTATATCATTGTGTGGACTAATGGACTTCGTCATACCTTAAACGTGCCATAATACTGACCAGCAG